GAACTTTGACCTGAATCTGAGTGTGCCTTTCTGGTATTCTGATGGTGGTGGGTTAATCCTATTATGTCCCAAAGGTCATATCCTGCTTCCCTGGGGATGTGGCTGATGACTGTTGGATTTTTGGCGTGAGGGATTGTTGATTCTAGGGATCTTTGTCTTTCTAATCCAAGCTTCCTGGCTCCAATCTTTCTGACAAGATGATCACATCTGCATTTCTGCAGACCTGGTTTCTGTTTGGGGCAGAGAGACGGGGGGGGGGGGGGCTTCTGCCTTGGGGAAATATATTATGTCTTTTTAATATTTCCTAAAATATTTCTTTCTCTGTGGGGGCTGGCTTCCCACACAAGCAAAAAGTTGTTCACCCCTCTGCTAATGTAGCACTGTATAATAGCATGCCATCGATGGCTTTGTTAGCCAAGAGTCTGGTAAATAAAACAAATCTTAATATGATTTTGAAGATTTGAAAACAGGCCTAAGGAAAGAACTTTTTAGATGTTCCTTTCTCCAGGCACCACATTATGAGAGCATTTAAAAATGTTTCTTCAATAAATAGGCAAGATTCCGTTGTTCTAGAATCTAGTATAATCAGTTTTACTTTATGTTCTATTGTTACTCAATTCGGTTGCTTTTCAATTCATAATAGATTTGCCCTATCTCATTTGACCTTAAAATTTGTATTGGTTTTATTGCCTTTAAAAGTTGTTTATATTTATTTGTTTTCTTTGATTGTGGCTGAAGCGTGGAGGCACATTACAAGTTGTTGTTGTTGTCAGTGGATAAATTCTTGTATTTTCCTCAGAAACTACCTCTAAAAAACCAACTTTGTTACTGCAGAGTATACAATTTAAAATAATTACTCTACTGAATTTCCTTTAAATAGCCATGGAAGAAACACGTGGTATAATGATTAGGATAATATATTTTTATATCTCAGGGGTTTATATTCTAAATTAGGAAAGGTTATGGAAAGAAAAAAGAGAGAAAGACTTGTAACCTAAAGATATCTAATGCTGTGTCATTGCATTAGATTTTATGGTTGGAATATCATCACCTACAATATAGTTATCAGTTTGTTGTCATCTGATGATAATAGATTACAAAGCTATAGTTTAAGAAAGCAATTGCTGCCAATGTCCTTTCATGACTGTATAAGTTCAAAGGCTACTTTTAAAGCGATTAAAGGTTGTTGTTCAGTGTACTTACTTGCTTAATGCTATAGTATTATAAGCTTGGACATATGTAATTGTCAATGTCGGTTTTAAAAGATATCAAACTACAGGACTCTGCCATTCTAGAATAGGTAAACTAGCAAACAGACTTAATTTTGTGAAATCATTTCAAAAAACTGGGTAGGAGAATGATACATCTTTATGCCCCAGGAATTGTGGACAAAAACCAATCCCAAGTTTACAACATGAGCATATTTAGGTTGTAGTATAATGAGGATTTCCCCCTAAGTAATAATTTGTAAATTGGGGAAAGTGTTGAAAACAGAGGAATTGGAAGCACAGTTTCTGATAAATACATTTATTATTATATAATGATGATGATGGTGATGATGATGTTGGAACTGGAAGCACAGTTTCTGATAAATACATTTATTATTATATAATGATGATGATGGTGATGATGGGGTTGGAGATCATCTAGTCCAACCCCCTGCTCAGGCAGGAAACCCTATACCAGTGTTCCTCAACCTTGGCAACTTTACGATGTGTGGACTTCAACTCCCAGAATTCTCCAGCTAGCGTTGCTAGCTGGAGAATTTTGGGAGTTGAAGTCCACACATCGTAAAGTTGCCAAGGTTGAGAAACACTGCCCTATACCATTTCGGACAAATGGCTGTACAGTCTCTTCTTAAAAACTTCCAGTGTTGGAGCATTCACCGCTTCTGGAGGCAGGTTGTTCCACTAGTTAATTATTCTAACTGTCAGGAAGTTTCTCCTTAGTTCTAGGTTGCTTCTTTCCTTGATTAGTTTCCATCCATTGCTTCTTGTCCTGCCTTCAGGCGCTTTGGAAAATAGCTTGACTCCCTCTTCTTTGTGGCAGTCCCTGAGATATTGGAACACTGCTATCATGTCACCCCTCATCCTTCTCTTCATCAAACTAGACATACCCAATTCCAGCAGCCGTTCCTTGTATGTTTTAGCCTCCAGTCCTCTAATCATCTTTGTTGCTCTTCTCTGTACTCTTTCTAGAGTCTCAACGTCTTTTTTACATCGTGGTGACCAAAACTGAATGCAGTATTCCAAGTGTGGCCTTACCAAGGCATTGTAAAGTGGTATTAACACTTCATGTGATCTTGATTCTATCCCTCTGTTAATGCAGCCCAGCACTGTGTTGGCTTTTTTGGCAGCTGCAGCACACTGCTGGCTCATATTTAAGTGATTGTCCACTAGGACTCCAAGATCCCTCTCACAGTTACTACTATTGAACAAGGTATCTTCTAAAATATACCTGTGCATTTGGGTTTTTTTGTCTAAATGTAGAACCTTACTTTTTTCACCATTGAATTTCATTTTGTTAGATAGTACCCAATGTTCAAGTCTGTCCAGATCCTCCTGTATCCTAAGCCTGTCTTCTGGAGTGTTGGCTATTCCTGCCAGCTTGGTATCGTCTGCAAATTTGATGAGTTCCCAATCTATCCCCTTGTCCAAATCGTTGATGAAGATGCTGAACAGCACTGGGCTCAGAACAGAGCCCTGGGGCACCCCACTACTCACTTCCCTCCATTTAGCTGCAGTTCCATTGAGGACTACACACTGAGTACGGCCGGTCAGCCAGCTACGAATCCATCTGGTGGTGATGCTGTCTAACCCACATTTTTCTTACCAAGTAGTAGGTTGTGGTCTACTTTATCATTTAACCAGGTTCTGTGCTACCACAATAAAAAATGACTCTTGACTACTTATATGGGAAAAGATATAGATTAAAATATATGCGGTAAAAATAAAGATGACGAGATGAGAAATTTGTATGTGTATCTGTGTATATATAAACACAAATATATACACACATGCAAGTGTGTCAAATGCATGTATTTCTATGAGATGGGCGTGACTTTTCCTGGAAACCAAAGTCACCCTGGACCGTTGTGATTCACCTGTCACCTCCCTTTCGTTCCGTAATGCAACTTAAATTTAGACACAAGTATCACGTACAAGATGGACAAGGTAAAACACCCTCGTCAAGAGGAATTCTTGTAGAAGGAAAACCCATTTATAACATACGAATAGAACGACTTGACTGACACTATCTCTTCTGTTTGTGGGAGAGGCTTGTTAGGAAGATAGCGGGGGCAAGCATATGATCCCAGCTCTTCACTGCCTGCATTTCTGGACAAGATGGAATGTAGGTGAAAGGTCTTTTCCTTTCTGTTGCTTCAGTTGAAAGTAAGCAGGAAGGCAGGGCACGCTTCCAGCTTTTGAGCGGAGATCCTGTGACTGACTTACAAAGCATAGCATGTTTCAGTATGGACGTGTAGGTTTTTTAAATTAATCATTGTGTTTTTATTTAGGACTTGTACATTCCCTCCACCACCCCCCTCCCGTTTTGAGTACACTTTTCATTATCATTTTTGCTCAGCGTATCAATAGGTAATTTGTCTTTTAATAGTTATTAACCTATTTCAGACTTAATATGCTTTGAAAGCCATACTTCAAAGAAAATCATAGGTAATAAAATGTTAAAAGTGCTATTTTGCATTCCAGACAGTTTTTGCATACTCTCATTGCTATTTTCTTTTATTTAACCAAATTCCATGGATATAAGATTTTTCCATGCTTTCAGTTTTAAGTCACACAGAAAGCAAAAAGCCACCCCATCCAGAATTTGTTCAACATAATATTAAATTACATTGAGCAAAATACCATTCAATGTCCGTGTCCCTGAAAAGCTCAGAATTGCACAAGGAGCTCTTTTAGTAGCAATTAAAAGGCCATTGATTTAAGACAGGATATACTGATTTAATCTGAGAAGACAGCCCATAATGCATATTGTCCTCCATGTGGGATGGATTGCAACTCCCATCATCCCTATTCAACAGTTATTGGCCATAGTAAGTAGAGAGGATCCAATTTTTCACTCCTAGGTGCCAAAAGCATATAAAAATCATGAGGTCTGAGCTCTTCATAACAATGTACATACAGGTAGTCCTCGACTTACAACCATTTGTTTAGTAACTGTTTGCAGTTACAACAATACTGACAAAAGTGACTTATGACCATTTTTCACACTTACAACCATTGCTGCCTCCCTGTGGTTGCATGATCAAAATTTGGATGCTTGGCAACTGGTTCATATTTATGATGGTTGAAGTGTTCTAGAGTCATGTGATCCCCCCAAATAAGTCAATGGGAAAAGTAGATCCACTTTACAACCATGTTACTAACTGAACAACTGCAGCAATTCACTTAACAACTGTGGCAAGAAAATTCATAAAATGGTAAACCATCTGACCATTAAGCAGCTATGGGTTCCTCCCCCTCTTGTTTGATCGCTCCCTAGGCAGCATCTCTTCCATCATCCCTCCAGATCATTCCCATACATCAGTACAAATAATGAAAGAGACAGAGAGACAGAGAGACAGAGAGAGAGAGAGAGAGAGAGAGAGAGACTGCAAAGATTGTAAATAAGGGCATTGGTCACAAAGTTTCCTGGGCCTCCTGGAACTGGTGGGACTGGAAGGAGGTCTGAGCCTCCTGGATGCAGTAGACCAGGAAGAGACTCCTGGCCTTCTTGGCACAGTGGAGCAGGGAAAGGCAATCTGTTTAACAACCAATGCAGTTGCTTAACAACTGCAACTGGGAGAGCTAGTTTGTGGTCATGTGCCATCTCAGTGAGAGCTTCACTTAGTGAGATTTCTGTCCCAATTGTAGCCATAAGTCAAGGACTATCTGTGCATGTATCTATTTTGCAGGAGGCACTCAATGATTTTTTTTTTTAAATGTGATGTTTCTTTAGAATGCCCGGATGTTTAAATATTTGCTCATGAGGATTTAAAATAATTTTTTCAGCCCTGTGTAACTCCTGAAATCTCTTCCAGATTATGCTTGCCGAAACCTCAGCACTTCCCCTGCTGTTAAATGTAAGTATACATACTTGGTGGGGATTGATGGGTATAAGCTAGAATTTTGACTGATGAAATGAAATTACATAGAGGTGGCTCTTGATCAAGTTTTTTTGCACATTGTTTTAATCTGTTCAGAGGTTTTTGTATGTGTAACAATTAAAAAATGAGAAGGAAACTGTAGAGCAGTGTTTCTCAACCTTGACAATTTTAAGGCATGTGGACTTCAACTCCCAGAATTCCACAGCCAGCAATGCTGGCTGTGGAATTCTGGGAGTTGAAGTCCACATGCCTTAAAATTGTCAAGGTTGAGAAACACTGCTGTAGAGCAACACATGGGATTAATAAAGATGTAGACAACAGTAGCCTACTGGGAGAGGCGGGGTGTGGGAACTTTCATGTCACATTAAAAATAATTTATTTCTATCTAACATGTTTCTTTTTGCCTCATAAATGCTGGAGGCCAAAGTATGCATTCTTTCATAAGGAGATATGCATAGGAAACGCTTGCAAAAACAAGACTGAAACTTGAAACAGCAGCAGTAATTAAGACAAATATAGGCTAATCACTTAGCTCTGCTTCCCAGGTGTGTTGGGTGAATTATAGCTACACATCTGGAAGGGAATTATACTGGGGAACATTGCCTCACCATATGGAAAAGTGAAAGCTATGAGAATGACTAATATAGGCCTAAAGCAGGGGTAGGCAACCTTGGCTCTTTTATGACTCGTGGACTTCAACTCCCAGAATTCCTGAGCCAGCATGGCTGGCTCAGGAATTCTGGGAGTTGAAGTCCACGAGTCATAAAAGAGCCAAGGTTGCCTACCCCTGGCCTAAAGGGTTTAAAATATCAGCATATCTCAGTAAGACCTTTTTTCATCTCATTTTGTTGAATAACTGCCCTCCTGTCAATGAGAGAGCTGATATCTTTGTTTCCCACAGGATCTGAAATATTTACTTATTTTTGCTGAATATTAATGGCACTATATGATTTTGAACTTCATTTTTTTTCCTCCTCTGTTGAATTCTACGGTGTAGAATAATATATGCATCTCTTGTCTCTTTTCTATCTTAGCTCGAACCCATGTTAATTATGACATCAAAGAAGATGTTGCTGTTGTTCGTTTTAATTCCCCTAATTCCAAGGTAAGTTTTTCCAATTGCTTTTCACTTAGTGAAAGTCATCTAGACTTGGCAGAAATACAGATATCTAAAATACAATGAAGAAAGGATGATGAAGGAAGTTCTTGTACAGAAAATTTGAAAGTAGAGGTTGGGGTCTTGGAGAGCTAAACAAGGGGTGGGAACTTTCTTGAAATGGAAGAAAAAACGTGGCAGGATGTAATACACTAATGTCCCTACTGACAATAAGAAATGTTATAAAATAAAGATTAGTTGTATGGCTTGGGTGTGGTTTCAGCCCAGGTCTATATAGAGCAGGGGTCCTCTTTTTATCTGGCCCACCCGGGCAAGCCGTCCAATCACGAGGAGAGGGTGGGTGGATGGTGGCGAGAGCCCCAGCCAATGGCAGGACGGCAAGTTGGTGGGAGAAGATGTTTTTTCCCAGTTTCTCCCTCGTACGCCCAAGGGCGCACTCGCGCTTTGGCCACGCCCTCTTCTTCTCCTCTCCTCTATTTGCGTTTTTATTTCAGGGCCAGGCTGAGAGGTTTAGGCCTTGCTTGCAGCCTCGGCCTCGCTTAGGGCAGCCAAGCCTGGTGATGACGATGCCACTGCTGCTGCTGCTTCTGAGGCGGGTCCCTCACTAGGTGCTACGGAACGCGAGCCCCAGCCTCCGCCGCTGCTTCCGCCACTGCCATGCCAGCCAAAAGGAAACTGGTGATGCCGGCCCTCAACATCACCCACACCATCGCCGAGGGACCCAGCCTCACTGGTGGTTGGAGTGGGGCTGCTGGAGTGGGGCGCCGGTTATGGGTCTGAGGGGAGCGGGTGAAGGGCAAGGTATTTCTGAGGAGCGGCCGGGGTGAGCAAGAAAAAAGAGAATTTGCTCCTGAAAAATTATTTCGGGGTTGCGAGGGGTTGTGTGGAGCTGAGGTGATGAAAGGTCGGGGGAGCCACTGGGAGGGAAGATGCGGTCAGTATTTGGAGGAGCATCCCGATCCACGAATGGGGTGGTGGTGGTGCCGCGTCCAGGTAGAGCTCCAAGAGGTAGGCAAAGCCGGAGGTGGTGGAGTAGCTTGGAGGAACCGGGAATGCTGGTGCTGGTGGCTGAGAGAAACTTCATTGACCTTTAGGGTCCAGGAAAGGGCGGAGGAAGGATGGGGTCACTGGGATGTGCCCCATGGGAAAGAGGAATGAGGTCATGCCAGGCAGTTCTTCTGCCCTGAGACAGTCCGGAATGCCAATCAAGGAGAATATTTCTGGCTCAGGATTAAAATGAAGGGTCCTTGGGGGTGTGTGTCTCTGAGGATGGTGGTTTTCTTGCAGATGTTTCAGGACCCAAAGTGGGATAATAAGTGAACTAATGATGTTACCTAGTTTGGGTCATGAGACATCTACAAGAAAGCCACAAAGCTCAGAGAGGACCAAGGAACCCACAACCGCCCTCCTCCTCCTCTTCTTTTCTTCTCCTCCACTCCACAAACCCCATTCTCTTCTGGCACTGCTGATGTTGCCTAGTTTGGGTCATGAAACATCTGCAAGAAAGCCACCAAGCTCAGTGAGCAGCAAGGCCTCCACAGCCGCCCTCCTTCTCCTCTTCTTCTCCTCCTTCATTCAACAAACCCCATTCTCTTCTGGCATTGCTGATGTTACCTAGTTTGGGTCATGAGACGTCTGCAAGAAATGCTGAATGGCAATGGCACCTTGCCTTTCTGACAAATGTAACAGAGCTACTCAACAGTTTCATTGTGCAACTTCAAGGAAAGGAGAAGCTCATCTGTGAAATGCATTCACATGTGAAAGCATCTGAAGTAAAATTGGACATACTCATTAAACAAGTGAGGGAGGAAAACTTCTGCCATCTTCCCACAACTCAAAAACTATTTGTGGAAAAACCAGCAGTTGCATTCCCAAACAAAACGTGTGGATTCATTGGAAATGTATATTTTCTTCACTTAAAAACTCATTCAAATAATTAACCAATTCATTTTTCTTGTTTCATTTTTTCATTGTACACTTGATTTTACATTGTTCTATAATCATTATTTTTTTTTCAAACTATAGTCCAGCCCCCCAACAGTCTGAGGGGCAATGAACTGGCCCCCTGTTTAAAAAGTTTGAGGACCCCTGATATAGAGTCTAGTTTCAGCATCAGTTACTGGCCTCCATAGCAGAACTACATTTTTGTGGGTGACACAGTGAACTCAGTATATCTGATCTAAGTGATCTTTTTGTAATCAGTTCAGTCAGAAGCTATAGCTGGTTCAGCTACAGTGGCACAAGCAATAAATGGGCACTGTCAACATGGCACAGGGCCCAGTCACTGGAGGGACCACCTGTCTCCAATTGTTTCTGCCCATCTAGTGCATTCAGGCAGAGTGGATATGCTCAAGTAATAACATTAAAAGATTAATCTGGAAGGGACCTTAGAGGTCTTCTAGTCTTACCCCCTGCTCAAGCAGGAGATCCTATACCATTTCAGAGAAATGGCTGTCCAATCTCTTCTTAAAAACTTCCAGTGATGGAGCACCCATAACCTCTGGAGGCAAGCCATTCCACTGATTAATTGTTCTCACTGACAGAAAATTTCCCCTTAGTTCTAGGTTGGGTCTCTCCTTGATATATTTCCATCCGTTACAAAATATAAAAAATAATCTTGATAAGATAGAAGATTATCACAGAATGATCCTCTAGCATGATTCACAATGATTCAGTGGCAGCAGCATTTCACAAAAACACTCAAGCCAAGTTGGGAAAGAGAATATAACTTCTGAATTATGACAAGGACATGAACTGACATTGTATTCCTCCCAGAAGCTGCTGCCAGACAATTTATACTTTCAAAGCAGAAAACTCCTCCATCCAAAATTGACCAATTTACCAAGGTCTCATCAATTTAACTTATAGGATTGAAAAAGAGTGCCTTCTTTTTTTACTGCTTCTACTCTCTGAGCTTAATTTTCGGCAGCTTTTCTTACTGCAGTCAAACATAAATATCCCAGGGGCTGCCACAAAGAAGAGGGAGTCAATCTATTTTCCAAGGCGCCTAAAGGCAGGACAAGAAGCAACGGATGGAAACTAATCAAGGAGAGAAGCAACCTAGAACTAAGGAGAAACTTCCTGACAGTTAGAACAATTGACCAGTGGAACAATCTGCCTCCAGAAGTGGTGAATGTTCCAACACTGGAAGTTTTTAAGAAGAGACTGGACAGCCATTTGTCTGAAATGGTATAGGGTTTCCTGCCTGAGCAGGGGGTTGGACTAGATGATCTCCAAGGTCCCTTCCAACTTTATTATTATTATTATTATTATTATTATTATTATTATTAGCATCACATGTTAGCTTTGAACTAAGACTTTTCTGAAATATAATTAGAATTATACTGTATCGTGGACAAAATCACACCATAAGAAAATCATATCATAGACAATCGAGTTCAGTTCTCTGTTAGATTTTGTGCCTGCATTTGAAGTGTATGCTAATCATTACTGTTGAATGTACCTTGAAAAGCACAGAACATTTGCGTTTGATTATTTTATTATGCTGAATTCTTAAATATCGTAGCTTCTGTGAGCATTGATTCTTTTGGAGAGATTGCCAGCTTAAGGAAGGAAGGAAGGCAAAGGATGTCTCCATCTAATACTGAACTTTCTGCCTGGGTTTTAACTTAGCTATTTCTATGTTATAGGTAAACACGTTGTCCAAGGAAATGCAAGCTGAGTTTGTAGATATAATGAAAGAAATATGGAGCAATGATGCTGTCAAAAGTGCAGTCCTTATCTCAGGAAAGCCTGGTTGTTTTATTGCAGGGGCAGACATCAAGTAAGTTCTATGGAGGGGAATCCCTGCTAGATAACTGGAGATACTGTTTTTGTTTTGTTATTTTTTAAAATGGTCACCCCCCCTACTGGCCTCTTAATATATTTAACTTATTTTAACATGCTTAATATATGTACCTTTTACATATTTTGCTTAAGAGTTTATACCAAAAAGATTTACACTTACTGCTTCTTCCCTGAGCATGCGGTACAGCAAAATAGAAATCACAATAAAACAGGTAGTGTGCTTAAAATCCTCTGCCCCCTGCTGGAAAAAAAATGGATTAACAGAGGTAGTTGATCATTAGGATGGTTACTTCCCAGTTGTAGATGGTTAGTGACTTCTAAATTCAGGGAAGAAAGATGAAGGCATTAGCATGTGCTTTAATGTAAAACAAAATTCCTCTCCTTTTGTAAAAGTGTGTAAAACTCAGAAATTCAGGGATGTATTTTTTTGGAGAAACATTTGTTTTTCTTTCAACATGTACCAATCTAGAATTGAGAAGTAAAATTTCTAACATAAGAAATGTGAAATTACCAAATCAGTAATTTGATAGTGGGCGAATTGACACTTTCCAGAAGAAAATCAAGGTAGTAGGCAACTGTTTTCTTGCTTACTAGAGAAACATTTTCTTTCCAAAGTAAAAAACTAGGACCCATCAAGAGTGAAATGAAGCTCATTAAGATAAGATAACCTTTATTGTCATTTTTTTACTGTGGGCACAACGGCACACATCAAAAATGAAATTTAGTTGCCCACTTCAAAGTGAAACACATACATGACACATTAGAGCACTATATGAAGTTGAGAAAGATTTTAACTCACATTAACTTAAAAGTAGTATTCACAAAGAAAAAAGGTAACTTTGAGTCACTTAAAAAAAAAGAAACCTTCAAATTGCTTTTTTGTAGATATGAAGTAAATATAATTCTCTTCACCAGATAGCTGGCATTCATCTGGCTTTCTCCACTTTGGTTTCACATTGTAGCATGATTGAGATTTGTGGGTCCAGCCAAGAAATAACTGAACTATCTCAGGAAGGCCAGAAGATGCTGCAGAGCCTTGAAAAGTCACCCAAACCCGTTGTTGCGGCTATCAGTGGTTCCTGCCTTGGCGGAGGGCTAGAGGTATGAGGAAAGGCTTCCATAAGAGAAGTCAAAAAGGATCTTAATACAATAAAAACAGATTAATAAAAAATTCCAGCTAGCTCATTCTGCCAAACATTTGATTAGAAAAATCTATGGAGCAAGCTCAAGAAGAGTTGTTAATGTAGGATTGTTTCAGAAAATGGGGATTCTTCAGCATAAAGAGAATTAGTTTGGTCTAGTAGTTAAGGTATCAAGCTAGAAACCAGGAAATTGTGAGCTCTAGTCCTACCTTAGACATGAAAAACTGTCTGGGTGATTTTGGGCCAATCATTCTCTCTCAGCCCAACTCACCTCACAGAGTTTTTTTTTATTGTGAGGAAAATAAATAATAGAGAATAAAGTTCATACAAAACAATTGCTTGGACCCTGGAATGTGTTTGGGGGAAAATGAGTTGTAATTGTGCTTTCTGACTCTTCAGGTTGCCATCGCTTGCCAATACAGAATAGCCACTAAGGATAAAAAGACAGTCCTGGGCGCTCCTGAGATGTTGCTGGGGTTGCTTCCAGGGGCAGGAGGCACGCAGAGATTGCCAAAGATGGTGAGATGATCTCTTTGATAAACACCCAGTTTTCTTTCCTGTGCCCCTTTTTTTTGATATGTGAAATCCCTATTTCTGTATTTCAGGTAGGAATTCCTTCCGCCTTTGACATGATGTTGACTGGAAGAAATATCCGTGCTGACAAAGCAAAAAAAATGGGACTAGTCGACCAGCTGGTGGATCCACTAGGTTAGATTGTGATCTTTCCACACATGCTTTTTGCCTCAAATTCTCCTTGCAGAAGAGAATATTATGGACTTGGAATGAGGGGAGGGAATACAGCTCTGGGACTGGGATTGAAATAATGGAGGCAAGTTGTAGATTTGTAGGATGTTCTACGATATGGGAACAAGGAAGCTTATTGAGCCAAGGGGAAAATAAAGGAAGAGTGGACCAATCAAACCCTTTGCTTGAAGTAATTATTTTGTTAGATTCCCAACTTCTAACCAATCAAAAGCAAATAATCCCATCAGTGAAAATTCATCTCAGCCTATGGGCTTATAATAGAATTAGTGGTGCAGCATAAGGGTTTTGAAGGAGGTATAGAAGTGGGAGCTTCAACAGAAGTCTTGTGATGCTGGAAGTTGTCTTTTCTGTTATCCAGATGGGCAGGCTACTAATATTGTTGCATTTGCAGGTCCAGGTATCAAGAGCCCTGAGGAACGGACCATGGAATATCTGGAAGAGGTGGCCATTACATTTGCACAAGGACTAGCCAACAAAACAATTACTCGAAAGGTTGACAAAGGGCTGATTCAGAGTGAGTGGGCACAACACTATCAGCTAAATTAGTTTTGTTTTGATTCTTGGAAAAGGTGCCCTGGCCCTTGTTTTTCTTGAAATCTTGGGGTTCCTTCGGCCCACAGGCCAAATTAGCCCAGAGTAGTTTGTCACTGAACTGCTTTGTCTTACAGAAGTGACGGATTATGCCTTGACAATTCCCTTTATAAGGCAACAAGTATACAAAACAGTAGAAAAAAAAGTGCAGAAGCAAACCAAAGGACTTTATCCTGCACCCTTGAGCATCATTGAGGTAATTCAGGTTTCTTTGGTGGCTTTTGGGGTTCCACCCAGGCTTGTAAAGTTAGATAGTGCATGTTTCTGTACATACGTAGATTCTGCTCATTTGTTGTCAGCTTGAATGTTATCAACTTTAGAATAAGATTAGTGACATATTTGATCTTGTTTTGGGGAAGGGGCTGGCCAGGATGACTTGGAACCCAAATTTGGTTCAAGGAAGCTATTTATAAATACATCATTTTGTTACCTGAAGGCCAAACTCTTTGCAGTTTATGTGTCATAGTTCTTCAGTATTTAACAAGCATTCTAAACCAGAATATAGGAGACCTCTACCTGGAGGAGCAAAATATTTTCATTTTAGAAAGGTTGGCTAAAAGTTTTTTAGCTTTTGCAGAACATTCATGCTATTTTGGCATCTGTGAGATTATCTCTTACAACTGTCTCACTTATTCCAGAAACATTAGTAAGTATAAACTGAAAGCATACTCAGTGACTGAATTTGTAAAATTGCTTTTTGATGGAAAGTGCTACTTCAAAGAATGCAGCTTACATTTCTCTCGATGTTGGTGGCTCTTCAAGAAAAGAGTCCTTTTGTAGTAGCTTACCTGTTACCTAGGAATATAGTTTTTGCAGAAAGATAAATATCTTTTTATTTTACTGGGTATTTAAAACATTGTTTTAGACTTTGTACTTGCTGCTTGCTTTACTTTGTTTAATATTCTTCATTTTCTTTTCTCCTTCCTAGTTTTACGTGGGTACTATTTGTTGCTATTTATTATATTTATGCATTTAATTGATCTGAATACATTATTTATTTATTAAATTCCTATGCTGTCCATTTCAGTAAAGACAGTGACTTTAGAGGGCTTACAACTTAATTAAAAATTAAAACGTGCTAAAAAGCAGTTAAAAGAATTGAATGGAGAAGTTAAAGGTTAAAATCGGAGATGATGGGCGACTTGGAGGGTGAATATGTTCTCTAACCTGCCAGCTACCCCCAACATAGCAGGCTCTGTTGGGATCCAATCCAAGCAGCAAAGCCACATTTTTAGGTTCTTCCAGTAGGCCAGGAGTGTGGAGGCAGACCTCACCTCCAACAGGAGAATATACCAGAATGTGGGCTCTTCTCCAGGACCTCGCTAGCTGAAATTCTTTGGCCAACGGGATCCAAAGTTGTTTTTTTCCCATTGGAACAATTGGGGCGTGTTAGTTCCATGGGTGAGACAGTTCCTCAGATCCCCCATACCCATGCCATAAAGGGCTTTAAAGGTGACGACCATCACCTTGAATTGGGTCTGGAAGCAAAACAGCAGCCAATGCAGCTCGCACAACAATGGTGTCTCAGTTGTACCCAGGAAAGGGTACAACTGGCGCACAACATGAAATTGCCCAAAAGCTCTCCTAGGCACGACTGTCACCTGCAACACATCCAATTTGGGAAGTTGTTTTGTTCAGTATTTATTGATGAAGCAATTTGGGGGCAAAGTATAAGGAGGAAAAAAAACTTTAAAATCTCAGTAGCAAGAGGGCATTTTTGAAATTTTCTGATCAAATAGAATACTGTTGGGTGGACTGCAACGTTGGAAAGTCTATTTATGTAGTGAAAACTTCCTTCACCTTTGTTTCCCCTGCATGCCTTCAAAATCTGCCCTGGAAAGTTGGGAACTCTCAGGAGAAGATTTTAAGAATGTATGGAGGCTATAAGGGAAAGGAAGAATCGTTCTATCTTGCTCCATAACTAAAAAAACTGTAATACAAACATTATTGAATCCCTCCCAGTTTTGATTTTTGTTTTTTTTATTTTAAGCTATAGCAAGCTATATCTGTTGGATTACAATTCCCACTATTCCCAATGTATAGTACTTTGTTTGGAGGCACAAAGTTGCAAAAAGCTAGGCTGCAGGTTTGGGATCCTTTTTGAAAGCTCTTCAGAGTATTGTAAAATAAAACCTGGACGCATTGCTTGAATGTCTATGGAGATTCTCAGTCATCCAGGTCATGGTTGTCCCAAAGGTGCTTTTTTTCAAGAGGCAACTGGACTTTCTTGTTTTTCTTTGAAGATGTTTCGCTGCTGAATCTTTTATGAATTATAAACACATGGCACAACATAGGAGAACAAACCCATCAGGACAAGCAGTCCATCTGCATTTAAAAGACAAAGGCCACTGTTTTGAAGACAGTAAAGTCCACATTTTGAATAGAGAGGACCACTGGTGTGGTGGTCAAAGGTGGTCAAAGAAGCCACCTATGTCAAAACTGAATAGCCCTTTCTCAAAAGAGGGGGAGGGATACGACATCATCTATCTACAGTCTACAACACAGTCCTTTCAGCAATTCCAAAAAGATTTCACACCCATTTGCGCTACTCAGCTGACCCTGAGGATACAGATAAACCTCCCAAGTGGCCTCAACGACTCTCTAAAAGAATGCAAATGACCATCTGTCTGCAAGGAATATAAATCCTTCCATTCCCCACCATCCAGTCAGAGCTGAAGAAGCTTCTTGGATGAGAAGCAAAATGTCTTCAAAGAAAAACATGAAAGTCCTCTTGAAAAAAGCACCTTTGGGACTTCACTGAGTTGATACTGGTTGTGGAAACATGGGATTTCTTGGCGTTCCCCAAAGTTCCTACTTTCTGGGCTAGAATCTCTTCTGCCAAGGGGGTTAAAAAAAACCCTCAGTTGTAAGGTCTGGGGAGAGCCAGAAGGGTAGACAACACATCCTTCAATACTTGAAAGGTGAAATAAATGGCTTTTGATGTGTTCTTTTTCTCTTAACTGTTTTTAATACTGTGTTTAATGTTTTTAGCTGTTATTGTCAACAGTATGGGCTAAACATACTGTGAATTATTATTTTTTTTGGGTTTAGGTAGTGAAGACTGGCCTAGAACAAGGCAATGAAGCTGGCTACCTTCTGGAATCCCAGGTAAAGAATCTTTCATCCACTTAAAAGATGATTGGCTTAAATGGATAACAGACTGGTGGTGAGTTTTGACTTGATGCTGTTTCACGTCTTAGTGCTACAGTTGGTACGTCTTCTAAAATTAGATCTTCAGGACTTGCCACTTTTGTTATAATTATCTTCTCATTATTACCAATACCTGGATATTCTCTGCAGCTTGATTCTCATACCTCTAGTTTATATCAGCTGAATCAAGACATATCAAAAGCACTTAATTTCCCACCTCCTCAGCATTCTTTATGCCAGGGGTAGTCGACCTTGGCTCTTTTATGACTGGTGGACTTCAATTCCCAGAATTCCTGAGCCAGCTTAGCTGGCTCAGGAATTCTGGGAGTTGAAGTCCACGAGTCATAAAAGAGCCAAGGTTGACTACCCCTGCTTTATGCTAAGAGAGAAAAGGATACTATCATATAATTAAAAAAAGTGGATAGCATTGGGGATGTGTGAGGATCTTTCTTATTGGAGCAATAGTGTTCTCAATATATTTTTTCAGAGGTAACAAGAGCAGCTCTCTAAAGTCTTTATCCTGCAGCCTTAGCAGTATCCTCCTTGAGTTTTCAGTGCAGGTTTGTTGCAGTTTTTTTCCAGTAGACAGGAGCACTGAGTGATCAGTTGCTCTCTCAGATTAGCCATAATTTCCAATTTTCCATCTTTATTTTTTTAAAAAGCTAGTCTTCAGCCCTACAAGCCAGAATGAGATAGAATGTGTGACCCACTCTTTTATTTTGTAAGAAAAATCTGTTTTCCGTAGATCACTGAACAAAATCCTAACAATAACATAAACAAGACCAAGATAAGGGAGTGCTGAAAAAACCTTTGATGCAAAGTGTCTGCTGCCTTATTTTTTTTTAAAAATTACAATTTGGTGTTTTTGGGTGTAACACTAATTGTGTTTCACTTGTTCAGTTGCTTTTGAACCCTCATCAGCCATTGTGATGATCCAGTTTTTGTAACCATATGCTATGGTCCATAGATAGAAACCATATTTGTAATATTTCTAATGGTGAATTTTTAAAAATGGTGACTTTTAAACATGTATAATGGTATAATATTTAAACCCTGGATAATAATGGCATTTTCTTTTATGGGTTATGACACAAAGCAAAAAAAGCATCCAGCAAGAAAAATAGGTATATCTGCTCTAACAGTACACTGTATTCAGCAAAAAATAAAATCACATCTGTATTTAAGCTTTTGTCTGGAAAGCTTGCTAAAAATGCCTATATTATTGACTAAAGATGCACGTATTGCCACATTATTGCTCTTTATATGGATTTAGCACCAAACATATGTTAAACACTATCATCACCAATTAGAAGCAGTGTAATTCCTAAGATAATCCAGATGAAAAATCAGCAAGTTTAGAGGGAAATGCCATGCACATGAATACTTCAGCAGTGGTTCTCTATCTTTTTCACCACACATCCTTTTAAAATACTTTTTTGTGGTCACAGGCCATGGCCACGGACCATCAAGACTTAGTTCAAAATGTGATAACATTGTGGCCCCCATCAATGTTAATTTGTAGCTGGTCCTCTGATGTGCCCTTCTGGAATGCTTGTTCACTCTTTGTTGTTATGGTATGTTGATTCCATGGCAGTGCCTTTGAATGTCTCATTTTCATTTTCTCTCCACTTTTTCCATCCCCACTTCTTGCAGAAATTTGGGGAACTTGGGATGACTCCTGAATGCAAGGCCTTAATGGGGCTCTACCATGGTCAGGTGCAGTGCAAGAAGAACAAGTTTGGGGAGCCCAAACAACCAGTCAAGTAAGTTCAACTAACAGCCTTCAAGTGTGCTGTCTAGAACAGTTCTATCTATTTGTATGTAAAATATTAGATGGCTTGCAGAATTCTGACAGGACCATGCTGAAAGTTTTCTGTACAACCAGCTTGTCCACTGCAAAGCAGGAAAAATGGAAGTTTATATCCTAACTGCATTGAAAATACTGGCATTCAGGCAACTAATAAAGATCTTAATTTCTAGTCGATTCTTTTTTTTAAATGTAATTTGAAATGCATTATTTTGGTTTATAGATAAACATTTCTCCCCAAAATTACATCAACCTAGTTTGAAGTGACCACTTAGCTTAGGGGTGCTTTTTAACTAGTAAATTATTCAACATTATTTGAATTATCTGTTTACCTTTCCAGCATTATTAAAAAAAGGACAAAATTAAATGTGAATTATTTATATTATAAACTTTACCAAATTTATGATTTCCCTTGTCAACTCCCTTTTCTTGATTACCTCTTTGTGCAGGAATCTTGCTATTCTGGGAGCAGGTTTGATGGGTGCAGGAATTGCTCAGGTTTCTGTGGAAAAGGGTGTTAATACCATAATGAAGGACACCACTCTGGATGGCTTGAGCAGGGGACAGCAGCAGGTCTACAAAGGGTATGTTCACTTAGGATCTAACCGCCTGGTGTATTTGTAGCCTGGAGGGACTGGAATCGTGCAGTAACTTCGGCCCTGAATTATCACTTCCAGCTGTCCCAGACTGGTCCAGTATTTTTGAAGCAGTAAAATGCAAAATTATTTTTTATCTTATTGCTCAGTGTGTCTTGACAGCTCTTCATGTCATAAACATACAGGCTGAAGAAGTTTCTCATAGCAAGTATGACTCTTAACAATGTCCTTTCATTCCAGCATTTGTTTTGTGTATAACTCTTTCCCAATAATCTTACTTCTGTAAGCTGCCCAGAATCACTGTAAATAATTTGGGCATTCATGTAAATTTTCTAAATAAATAAATACATAAAATAATAAAATAATCTTCAGAAGCTGCTGGCATTGCTGAAGAGCTATTATCCTTTTTCAGTTACCTAGGGAATCATAATTTTTTTATAGATTTGTTTAGGTCTGGGGAGAGCTACTCTGCTTCGTAATAAATTGTCAGTCGACAGAAAACAATAACACATTCTTGTCTTACCTTACAGTGGTCATCTTACAAGCTTTTTTTAAAAAAAATCAGTGTAGTATCTCTCCCAGATTCCATTTTACTTAAGTATATCTATTTTGACAAGTATCTTATTATTATTATTATTCCTCTCCCTTTTAGGGGGATATCCATGATCAATATTTGCATTTGGCAAAATGTTTGGAAACAAGGCTCTTTATAAGTGCACTGTTAGCCTCAAAATCTGTGTTGTTTTGCTTTGCTTTTTTGTTTAGTTGTGTGTTGATCAGTATATGTATTTCCAGGTTGGCTACAAAAAAATTACAGTAAAGGGATAGATTTCAGAATTAAAACAAAAACTTAAATATTTTAGAAATGCTTAAAAATAATAAAAGCTAAAGCTAAAAAGCCATCTGCTTCTAAAACAATAGTTGTTTTTAATTAGTGTTTGAAAGAACCTTCAAAGCTTAAGACAAGTTTTCTTCAGTATAAACAAAAATATGAATGTGAACAGTTTCTTCACAACTATACTTTACCGAACAGCTTATTTTCAATACTTCCCACTGTCCCCATCCTAATAATTTTCTCAGCTTGAATGATAAAGTGAAAAAGAAGAGTTTGACATCATTTGAGAGGGATATGATCCTTAGTGGCCTTACGGCGCAGCTGGATTATAAGGACTTTAAGAAAACTGACATGATCATTGAAGCTGTCTTTGAAGACCTCAACATCAAACACAAAGTGCTGAAAGAGGTGGAAGCAGTAAGTAAGAATTCAAAGCCAATAGGCAGGATGGGTCTGTGAGATGCATTTGAATATCTTTAGGGGAATCTCCCATTTCCTAATTTACTATATAAAGTTTGCCACCTCATTCCTTTGCGAAAGCTGAAGAAATTGGAAGATTATGTTAATCTTGGAGCACATACCAGGCATGTCTATCTCTGATCAGTAATCTGATCCTATGACTGCCCCTGGAAGTATCTCCATTCAGTCCAATCAGATGATTCCATCAATCAACATTAGAACTATAGCAGTCAGAGGAAGGAATATTATTATAAGGATGTGAAGCCTTGCTTACCCTGTTGCTTGCTTCCTATCAAGTATAAGCCAGTCCTGTCAAGTGACCAAGTACATGGCTATATCAGGGCCTTTATGGGATGCTCTATTCCAAATCACAAATTACAGTGGAAATGGTTTTTTTTGTTTCTTCTTTATGTAAGATTGCTGTAGCCATAATTATGCACCTTCCCTCTCCCACATGTAGCATTTCTTTTGTCTTCCCAGCTTATCCCTCCTCATTGTATCTTTGCCAGCAACACATCTGCTCTCCCCATCAGTCAGATAGCTGTAGCCAGCAAAAGGCCAGATAAGGTGAGTTTGGTGTGTTTTTATAGAATATACTGAAAACCTGCTGTTAAGTAAGGTCTCTTCATCTATGGTTTTCCCACAGCATATCTTAGTCTTGTTGGAAAACTAGCATTTTACTCTGATCCTGAGCTTTGATCTCTCTCATAAAGTAGAGATATTTATTTGCCCAAAATGCCTAGAGTTTGCTAGATTCCTGCTAACGTTCTGTGATACAGTACTGTAGTCTATAATAAATGGCTTTAAAGAAAACATTAGTCCTTGGCTTCCATTTGTGAGTAGTTTGTTCTAACCTCCCCTAAACGCGTGCAGCAGCCGGCTGGAACACTTTAAAGAAGTGAAAACCTTACAACAAAATTAAGCTTAGCTTTAGACTTGGTTAACCGTGTGTAAGGGATTTGACTGTTTCCACTTTGCAGCATATCGCGAGCCCAGTGTACGTGAGGATCTTAATT